AAAATCTAATTGGATGTCCTGTGTGTTCTTATAGTTTGTAATCATTAAGTCTCTGGCCACAACTGACTGTGTAATGATTAGGGAATGTGTTTCTCTAAGTCATACACAAATCGATTATAATACTAAGAATGTTCACACATATTGGATTTTAAAAGAGGTCTCGCTAAACCAATTCCTCTAGTTCAATCGGGACATATGTATCGAAGGGATCGTACTGTACGTTAACTATATCACACGGTTCTTGCATGCACTTCATTTGTATCTAAGGAATCATGAAGCGTAGTTGGTAGACGTCAATCTTGATTCATTGGGTAGTTAAGTTCAAATTAGCTTCACCTTATTTATAACTCTAGGGACGAGTTTAAACCACCATGTGTTGTGAGCCCACGGCTAGCTTACACCCGAACCATCGAGGGTCATACTCTCGTGCACCTGAAATCGTTAAATACAACTTGTTGAGATTAAGTTTTTAATCCAAGCATAATTGAAAGTCAATGTGATTGAGTCCAACATCCGTAGTGATTTATTACGAGCGAGAATAAATAAATAAAAGAACTTAACTAAAATTCAGTGAAGTTTCTAAATTGGGAAGTTTCCCGATTTAGCAGGTTCACTGAATTAGGGTTTCCACTTTTGGAAATTGGAAATTCAGGAATATATCTCGTATCGACGAGAAGTTTATGCTCGTCAAGAAAATATAATTGTTCTAATTTTTGCAGCGTTCGTTTATAAGGAACGAGCAGAAGAATGGGAGAAATGGACTTAAGCTGATGGGCCACACTTAACTTAAGTTACTAGGGTTGATGTTTCAAGACCATATAAATACACATGATTAAGCCTTGAAAAATAACCTAATCATAATTTAAACCTTAGCCTCTCTCCTCTGCAGCTCGGTCGACCAGTCTTAAGGCGTCGCCGTCGAGCCGTCAGTTCCCCCGCCGCTAGCCCCTAATAGTCGTCGGTTATCTCTTTCCCTTGTTTATTCTTATTTGTATTTTTAATTCTTGCATATCTAGTGCTGCGTAGGGAAAGATTGAAGATATACGAGGTGAATTCCAAGAGTCGGAGTTCTACACCACCGCCGTCATTGAGCCACGCGCCGCCAGACAACACCAGCACGTCGCCCACACATGCCGCCGCAGAAGCTCGGCAAATCGGACTCCTCATCGATTCCTTCGATTTTTTTCACGCTCCAACAAGTTAGAATCGAGAATCTCCCTTGTTTAATCGTTTAATTAGTTCATTAATTGTAATTGCATGATTTGATTAAATGATTAGATTGATTTATATGAATTATATGTTGAGCATGTTCATATGTTTTATTATTTAATGCAGCTATGTCATTTTATTTACGAATGATTTAAATTAATATAAGCATTTTCGAATTTAAATAACGCTGGAAGCAAAAAGGTACGCAATTACTTGCAATTAATGTGCATGTGTATTTCTTTGATTAAATTATTTTTTTTCAAATAATATATAAGATTTTAATTTCCGCTGCTTACACATGCCTCATTCCCATCATAGCCGTTGAGAGAGAAGAAGTGGTTCTTCTCGGTCGAGTGTTCCACGCCGCGAGTCCTAGGACAATATGTACTACGAACGTTCCTTTTGCTGTGGAAACTCCCCTCGAAATGAACCTGGAAGTAGATATTCCAGACCTGAAGAGACGAGAAGGAGTCGCGAGGGCTTCGATTACCGTCACTCAAGGAGCCCTCGTCAAGAAGCTTTGAGGTGAACGAAGGCTTACTTTGGAGCATTCCTACTCGAATAAGCTCCTTTATTCCGGCCATTATGGAAGAAGTCCTACCTCTTGGATTTAGGATCTCTAATTTACCCCATTTTGATGGGACTAGAGATCCCCAAAGTCACTTAAACAACTTCTTTGCCAATATGTATCACTAAGGCCTCAGTGATGCCGTCTACTGCAAAATTTTCCAAACTTCGCTAACTAATCAAGAACATACTTGGTTCAACGACCTGCTTGGAGGATCCCTGGATGGCCTAAATCAGCTAGCAGGACGTTTCCTTAGCCAATACTCTATCAATAAGAAATACGCCAAGACTAGATCATACCTCTTGAGATTCAAACAACGTGAATGAGAGCCGCTCAAAAATTATGTGCCACGGTTCGTCAAAGCTGTACACGAGGTGCCCAATGTTAACCATGACCTCCACGTACCTTGGAGGAACCTTTGAATCGCGCCGAGAAGTATATCCGGATAGAGGAGGCCCTAGAGATGGGATTCCACGTCAAGCAGAAACGCAAAGAAGAGCGTCACGAAGGAAAAATGAGAGAAGAAGGACGCTCGAATCATGCCCCTACATATCCAAAGTTCACTCCCCTAAAAGCAAAATTAATGGAAGTATGGATGGTGGCAGAGCAGAAAGGTTTGGTCCAACCTCCACGACAGATGAAAGAAAACCGAAAAGGCAAAAATTGGTTAAATATTGTGAGTACCACTGAGATCGGGCCACATTACCGACGAATGCTTCCAACTTAAGTAAGAAATTGAAAGACTGATTAAGAAGGGACACCTTGGCAAATTTGTGGTTACACCACGACACCAGAAATTCAAGGGTAAATCACATTTTCAATGATGCGTTGGTCGTTTGCCACTACACCAAATAGAGGTTTTCCTAACACTACTATTTTTCAATTTCTAACGGATATTTCCGTTAGAAAATTCTAACCGATAACATCCGTTAGAAATAGCATTTATCCGTTACTGTTAATAATAAGTCATTTATGTGTAATTTATATTTTTTATAACGGATTTATCCGTTAGAAATATATAAATATTCCATTATAGTTAATTATTATTGTAATAATTTATTTATGTTGAATATTTGTGCACATAAGATTTGCCACATAAATAAAAAAAGGAGAAGTAAATAAATAATTAAATTTTACAATCATAATAACACATCAGATGTTCTAAACTATTCGGTGCCTTTGATGAAAAAGAGAACTTATTCTCTGCCTAATTTGCGACTCACTTGTTCGTCTCCGTAACCACCGACGCCGATGGATCCACAACCACTAGGCCCTCCATCGTTTCAGGTAATCACTCGATCTCTCTCTCTCTCTCTCTCTCTCTCTCTCTCTCTCTCTCCCCTCTCCCTCTTCTCCCGTTCTCTATCGTTTTCCCTTCACACTCTAATCATATGTTTGGATTTTGCTGAAAAGCCCTAGATTTGTTCTGATCTCAAAATTAAACTAATAACTTATACATATAGTTTTATTTATAGAAATTTATTTCATGGTTTCTTTGATGGTTGATTTAAATTGGAATCTTTGAAATAGCACGCTTGCAATTTGTTAGGTCTTTTTAAATTGGATTTAACCAATATTTGTAATTTTTTCCTCTTTTTATGTCTAACTTTAGTTGTCCAGGTGGTTAAGTTTTTGTTGATCATTATAAGGAAGATATAAGTCTTTTGTGTTCGATATTGTTGTGAACTTAGCAGCTTATGTTTCTTCTTAATTTTGCTTTTTGTTTCAAATTGGATATTCAAATAGATACTCTAGATAGAATTTTCCCCCAAACGTCATAGTATTATCTTTAACTTTTGAACATAATGAGTTTATCATAAAATTGTACATTCTATTTGATATTTTTGAATTGCCATATGATCTCCAATTTCTAGTACATTTTGGGTTAAAAAGATGCATAGTTTGCCAAATGAAGTACAAACGACGTCATAGAAAAATTACCCTGCCATGTAAACATTTTTACTCTATAGGTTCTACGAGTAGATGTGTTTATATCAATAAATAAGTCACTAAGCTTCTCTTGTTTGTAATAAGTGCAAGTCATAATTTTGCTAACAATCTTGTATACAAAAGGGTGTTTATTGCAATTAGCACTCTGTGTTTACTCATATAATTTACATATAACAGGTTTGCCCAATTTGTTCCAAGTAGGTGGTTGTTGATATTCCAAAGCAATGAAAAAACACTTGATTATTCATAATCAATCATTAGTTTTTAGATAGCCAGTTATGGTATTGATCTCTTTATATTGCCATAATTTGCATGGATAAATTGTTCTTATATTTGTTTTACTGATGACTAATGACCATTGGTATAATATTACAGGGTAAGAACTGAAAATTACGATAGGAGAACGAATTCATCAATCACAAAGCTCAACACGCCTACGTTTGATCTGAAAGTCTGAACAACAAAAAATATAAAATAGATTAAAAAAAAAAAAAAAAAACCCAATTTAAAATTCAGTCTCCGGAAGGCCGTAAAACAAAATCTTCGAAGATTCTCTGTGGGTTCCGACGAATCGATTATTTTCTAGGGTTTGGAACTTCCGATTCCTCCTCCTTGATTGTTTTTTCCGTCGGAAGATCGACGACTGAGAACTGCTTAAAGTCATGTTCAAAAATTTCTGGTAATCACTCATTTTTTTCCAATCTCTCTTTTTCGTTCAGTTAAATGAATTTTGTGAACAGGCCAAATGGATACAGTATGCGAAAATACCTTTTGATTATCGGAATTATTTTTCCTTGATTAAATTTATTTGCCGTATAAGAGAACGGTGTCGAGGTCAATCGTTCTGGAATTTTACTCTCTGATATGAATAAATAATTTTTGTTGAATAATTTTCCAATATAGGATGAATCCGATTCTGCGTTGTCTTCATAACATAAATATTGTGATAATCAGTTGGTTCATTGAATAATTTTAAAATTTGATCCCTAATTGGCATGGATGCCCTAATATGATTTTGCAGTTTCGGGCAAACGATCAGTAATAGGTTACCGGGCATTTCATTATGTCTTGCTTATGTCATTTTACATTTACGAAAGTGTAATTTTCTTGCTGTGAATGCATTTATGTCGATAGGGGCTCTCAGGAGCAGCAAGGTCAGCCCACAGAATCATGGTATCCGCCTTCGGTTGTGAATTCACCTAGCTCGTCTCGCCCCACAACGCCTGGTTCCAACAACTTATCAAGACCGACTGATCGGACAAGCTCTTTATCAAATGTTTCGCCTGCAGAAGCAGCCGGAATTGTTGCGGTTTTGAAAGATAAGAGGTGACAATTCTTTTTATGCATATATTTTTCATAGGTTGTAGGATGATATACTTTACTGAAGCATATAATTTTACTGTGGCTTAGTTGCTATTCTTACTGATGGTAATGAGTTGGTGAATAAAATGTAGCCTTGTTGTTTTTGTTTAATGATAGTGTTGATGATCTGAGGAAGCTTTTGTCGGACAAGGATGCTTATCAGAGTCTCTTACTTTCACTCGAACCTGTTAAAACTCAAAACAGGGTAAGTTTCAGGGTTTTTCTTTCCCCTTCATATTTCTATCGTTATTTACCGTTTTGCCCTTCTTGGTTCTAACTTGGTGCTTGTCCTGTTAAACTTGGGTTTTTTTTGCGTGATGTATATATATATATATATATATATATATATATATATATATATATATACACACACACACATATATATATATATATATATATATATATATATATATATATATATACAAATTACATTTCCAGGGTTTTTTTTTACTTTTTTCAGTTTCATTTGATGCATTTCTCGTATCTCCTAAACTTGGACCCTTCTTCTCGGTGTGTATATGTGTGTGCACATGTGGTTCTAGTTCGGGATTTTCAAACTTCCACCGTATTCATATTTGTTTCTTCGTGCTTATTCTGTTTATGTAGTCTTCATTGCAAGCTAAGGCTTTCCAATTGTCTTTACTCAACTCATTTAATATGTTTACTCAATCAGGTCAGAGACGAACTTAGGAACGAAACACTGCAGCTTGCTAGTAAGTCCTCCTTTGCCGCATATTAATTTTCTTTTTTTGAAACATTACAGCATAATAATTAATCATCTTATCTACAGGAGAAAATGTGGACAAAGAACCATGCATAATGGAGCTAAGGAATCAGGTTAGTTCTGCGGCCTTGGATTGCATTCACTTAATTTTTTTCTTTTGGACGCAATTTGCACTTATGACATTGTTTTTCTTCTTGGTTTTCGTGGCTTCAGTGTAGAATAATTCGAACTACAGAGCTGGCAACTGCTCAAGAAAAATTGCATGAATTAGAGAGGAAAAAAGAAGATACTCTTAAGTATTACTCACCCTCATCTCTCCTCGTTCGACTTCAAGGTATGCTTATTTAGCTTGGCAACGAGTTTTATTTGTAAAGTACGACAAGTCTGATGTGCCTTATTGGGGTAACTTTAATATTTTGGCAATGTGTAATCAAGTCGGTTTCGTCAGTTCAGTTTCACCAAGTACGTCGTTTTTTTCTAAATGTCGTCTTACCCAAAACCTCTTTTAAGTTTCACCATAACAATGATAGTATCATTCACAAATCGACCGTCTCCATGGAATACCTTCTATAATTAATTGCCTATATTTTATGATTATTTTGATGATCATATGAATAAATATGCTTCCTTTACTACAACCCAAAATTTTTTTTTCATTAATTTATACTTAACATGTATAAATCGGATCCTTCTCTCAAAACTCAATGAACTATTTCTCCTTGGATTGATAGTCTTCTGACTGAACTATTTTTCCTTGGATTGTTAGTTCATTATTGTTTCTTTCCCCCATGAACGGGGGCAGGGGCCTCTGAGCTTTTTTTTCTTTTCCCCTCATTATATTATTCGTTTACGCGAGTGGTTTGACATAAATGCTTTGCTTCATATGTCATCTATTTCTGAATGTCGAGTCTTGAGTTTCTTACGAAAGGACAATTGTGTATAGGGTTGATATGGGATATATCTTTAAATCAAATGATATTTGTGAATTAAACTGAATAAATTGTCGTTGTATTATTACAGATGCAATGAACAAAACAGAAGAGGAATCGGAGACGCTGCACAGGCAGCTTCTTGATGGAGAGATTGATCTTCCAGCGTTTGTACAGAAATACAAGAAGATGCGTTATACTTACCATAAACGCGCTCTTATACATCTTGCTGCAAAGACAACTGTAACTGGCTGAACCATGGTATGCCGTAAAACTAAATGTGATTTTGGAAGTTATACTGCGTGTGTAAAATAGCTTGTACTGTGACAATATTGTGTTTTCTCTCTCTCTTTGTTTTCGGTTTCATCTTGTTTTGTATTTCGACTTCGAACGGTATTATAGTAACAAAGTTCAGAAAAATTCTTGTTCCAGACAAATAATGCTCCGTAAAATCTTCAACGGAGATACGAATCCGGTGAAATTATGTGTTTGGTTTGGTTGGCTTATAACTGTTTATCTTTATATATATATATATATATATATATATATATATATATATATATATATATATATATTCTAGTTAAATATAATTTCTAGAACGCTCCTTCGGAGTCCAAACACCCAAAAATTATAATCCTCTCTTAAAAATTCGTGATCTCGCCACTTCAACTACCAATCAGATGGAGGACATTATCGATCAACTCATCTCGTACATTATATAGCTTAATTAATTGACCTTATAAATTGGCTTGCCATACACGCAATCAAAGAAATATGAACCCCTAATTTCCCCTTACAAAATGGGGTCAATATGCAATATTTGTTAACTTTTGGGTCAATGTACAATATTGGTTAAATTAGGAGTTGGGGATGAAATTGGGGTTAGTTACCATTTGAAGGCCATTTTAATCTTTGGTGGATTCCTTTTTTTTTTTTTTTTTTTTTTTTGGTAAAAGATAAATGTCCAATATTTTTTTTCAATTTCTTCATTTATCACTTTTAATTAATTAAAAACTAGTTTTCTTCTTTCTCCTTCGAGGGGAAACGTAAAATTTCATTAGGCATGTAAAGCTAAAGAGGGTGGAAGTTCAGAACCTTTCGTACAACCATCCATCAATATGGAAGCTAAATTGTGAAGAGGCTTATTACCTTGTCTCTTGATAAAGGAGAAGGGTCCATTGGATATACACCCCTCATATGGAAAATATATAGGGATATGTCCACCCCTAAAATTCTTCCTTTGAAATACCCCTGGAGAGGCAAAAGTACTATTGTGCCCTTAAGTTCAATTTTCGCCCAACTGTATTCAACATTTTCACCCCTACATTCAGCATAAAGCCCAACTGTATTTAGCATTTCTAGGGCTGTATTTATCCTTTTTATAGATTTTCTTAAATAAAAAAAATTTAATGTTTATTTTACTATTATTTTTTATACATACCCATTTTTGTATTATTTTTATTTTTTTTAATTTTCTATTTTTATTTTAATTTTTTTAATTTTTTAATTTTTTTAATTTTTTAATTTTTTTAATTTTTAATTTTTAATTTTTTTTTGATAAATTTACTGTGCTGAAATTGACTATACACGACTATAGTATACTACATATAACTATAGTATACCACAGTCACGTATAGTTATATGTAATCATGTAATGTCTTTTTACCCCAAAATTAATCTACACCAACAACAAAATTCACAATTTTAACTTGATAATCATCTAACCCCCCAAATAAAAACACAATCACGTGCATATAATCTTCAAAACATGAACACGCAATACTATACACATAGCATACATATATACTATATGTTACTACACGTGACTATAGTTGTCTACAATTATCTATAGTTACATAAGTGGCATAAGTCTGGAGTACTGTAGCATGAGTCCAACTTCACAAGGCACTTCTCTGCGCCTTATTCTTTGCATCTCATAATGTTATACAAAGGAAAACATGCGACAAAAAAATACAAGTTAAAGAGCTAAATAGAACATGCAAGTTAGATTACATAAAAAATACCAAAAAACATGAATTTTTGTTTTTTTTGAATAAATTTACTGTACTGTAATCGACTACAAATTACTACAGTATACTACAAGTTCTATAGTCATATGTAGTCATGTATAGTCATGGCTACATATAACTATACATGACTATAGAACTTGTAGTATAGTCATGTATAGTCATATGTAGTCGTGTATAGTCATGACTACATATAACTGTATATTCACCTGACCCAAATCACCCATCTAAGTAACAACTACTGATTAAGTTTCTACTGCAGACAAACAGAGCTCTCACACTTGAGGCATTTCGGATTATTTTCAAATAAATACAAAAAATAAATAACATGATTTATAACAAAAATAAACAAGATAAGAGAGCAATATTGAAAACCTTACATATAAAAAAGCAGCCACTACATTATCAAAAAACATGGACATTTTGTAAGAGAGCAAAATTCACCAAGACCTGCGAAAAAAGAAAGAGGGTTAAACAAACAACGAATTTTGCTTCAAATTTGAATATACACACACACAATCACCTACTGATATACAGACACATCACCATCATACTCCCCACATAACTCATACATGATTGATTACATGTTACTATATGTTACTGCATAGTAAAAATCATAAATTTCAAAGGGTAAATCGTAAAATTGGACCTAAAAGATTCACCAAACATACAAAATTTCATTTAATTATGACAAGCAAGTCATTCAAATGGCAGGAAAAATTTCCAAATTACAATATGATGCAATAAACTAAAAAAATGCACCCACACACACACACATCAATTTCCAATTACTTGGTGAAGAAAATTTTAGTACACGATTGTAGCGTCAAAGCTTTGGTATATATTTTCCTCGTCTTGTCTTTGGATTCATCCCCATGCCAGGCAACAAATGTCGTTAACTTTTTAGTCGTCAAGGCACCATCTACATATAACGTGATTTTGGGACGACCAAGTATGAACCTCTTTAGAGCAATCCCCTCAACTTATCATTGTGAAATTTCCTACGGCTGGCGGAGTTGGAGAGGCTTTAGGTGACCAACACGTGGCTCGAGAATCTTATACGAATACCTTGAGGACACCTCAACTTCAGAACATGAATCAAGTGGGGAGAGGAGGTGACACACCTAATCTTCTACAGAGAAAATGGGTGATGGTTGTTGAAGATAAGCTCATCACCTCTTCGACCGATCACCGAAACGATAGCATGAGACTTGCAGGAGTGGAAGAATTGATAAACATAGAATTGGTCCCAGACAATCAAGACAAGATGCTCTGAGTGGGAACAAGCCTTGAGCTCGAGGCGGAGGCGGAGCTCATAGGCTTCCTCCGAAAAAACAGTGATGTCCTCGAGGGTGTCCGCCCATCTAAGGTAATCCATCGTCTTGACGTCAACCCTAAGCTCAAGCCAGTCAAGCAGAAAAAGAGGACATTTGGACCGGAACGTAATAAATATATCAAGGCGGCCCCAACCGCACCACCTGGGGAAACCAAGCGAAAGAAGACAAGATCGAATCGGTATGTCTCGTGCTCGTCTCGTTGAATGGACACAAAAGACTGCTTTCCTACAACAAAGAGGAGACTCTTTCAACAAGGCTACGAGTTCTGACATACTTGACTTTAGATTGGATGTCCTACTTCTATGAAATCTTTCACCGAACCCTACTTCACTCAATCAATATCCTAATCTGAATCCTACCTCCCTGACTACAACTCAACCACCAACAGCGGGAGAGCCGTCATGAAATGATAGATGTGCAGCGCATTCTGTAAGGCTAACAACTCATTCTCTAACAAGAAAAGCAAAGACCTCATCTACCTCATCAACAGGTAATCCTGCATCTGATCAGGCAAGTCTCCTTCCCGGAGCAAAGCTACGAAACATTGCTAATAAAAGAAAGATGCACAAGGAGGGCTAGATGAAGGAAGATGTTACGCGGATGGGTAGGAGGAACAACAAGGCATAAGAGGTTGCTTCAAATCTTCCTATCCCATTGGCTTGGCCTGCATTCAATTGTTGGGTTTCGGGCACGCATACGCAGCGGAAAACAAAAATTTATGTGATTCAAACGACTTCAAAACACATAAGAACATGCCCGATAAAATAAATTCAATTAATTGCGTACCTTTGCGCTTCCAGCGAAATTAAAAACAATTTACATGCTAATAATTTCAACCGAATTTAAAACAATTAACATGCTCGCGTTTAAAATAAATAACATGCTTGCAATGATTTAAAACCGATTACACATAATCACATAAAATCATACAAAACAAACATGAAATCATAGTTTAAACAAAGCTCAAAACGAAACTAGGGTTTCGTGTATTTACCTCTTGAAGCGTGAGGTAGGGGCGATTAGCACGTCGTGATTGCTACGGAAACCAATCCGTAGAATCGGGGCAGCAATTGAGCAGCAGCAGCGGCGGTGTACGGCCACGGCGGCGCGTGAGCTTCACGCGCGGACTTCCGGGGCGGCGCGTGGGGCAGCGTGCGGATTCGGCTCGTGCGTTGCTCCTCGGTTCTTCGATCTACGATCTTCCTCCTCTCGGATTTCACCTCGTATACTTCGATCTACTAAAACGTGGCACTAGACACGAAATAGTTAGAATTAACGGAAGAAAAAGAAAGGAGAAAAGAATACCGAAATGGATCGGCCAAGGGATGGCCGATTCCGGCGACGGGGCGGCGCCAACGGCGGAGGTGGCCGCGCGGGAGAGAGGGCGAGAGAGAGAGGGTCGGCCGCTTTAGGGTTAGGGTTTCATGTTTTTGTGTAAGGGCTATAAGTCATGTATTTATAGTCCCTTGCATATAACCCTAGCGGGCTTAAGTTGGACTGGGCCCAACAGCTTAAGCTCGTTAGTTCCTCTACTTGCTCGTATCTCTCAATTCAATGACCGAAAAATTGCAACGATTACATTTTCGGAATCATTATAACTTCCTCGTCATTACGAGTGCCATCTCTTGTTTTCCAACTTTCCAAAAGTGGAAACCCTAGTTCAGTGGACTTTCTAAATTTGGAAACTTCTCGATTTAGAAAGTTCACTAACATGTTCGCCTATTCTTTTCCTTTTCTTATTCTCATTCGTAATTCCAAATTACGAATGTTGGATTCAATCATATTGACTTCCAATCATGCAAAGATAAACTATTTTATCTCTGACCGTTTATTCAAAGATCTCATGTGCACGAGCAGTGTGACCCTCGATGGTTCAGGTGTAAGCTAGCCGTGGGCCCACAACCCATTGTGGTCAAAACTCGTCCCCTTCGAGTTACGATTAAGATGAAGCTCGTTTCACCTTAATCACCCAACGAATCAAGATTGGCGTCTAGCAACTACGCGTCATGATTCCCTAGATACAAATGAAGTGCCTGCAAGAACCTTCAGATATAGTTAACGTACAGTACGGTCCCTTCGATACATATGTCCCGAT